TTCAGGAAACTCTGTACCAGTTTGAAGCAGGCACTCTGACTTTCAGCAGTAGCCTGTAAGTGTAGCACTAAATATTTCTAGGGTTTCTGGTATTCAGTTTCTTGACCATGGACTGGAATTATTCTTCGATGACTGAAATCAACATACGCTATTAACAATAAGAGCAAACTATGGCATGCTACTTCAGTTTAATGTTTTTTCATGATCTGTAAAAACTGGAGTAGGGGTGATTCCTCTCACTGGTGTTTGTTAGTCAAAACCAATGCTGGTTTTATAGCATTCTTCTTTTCTGAAAGTGGCATAGTGCTAGATACCTGGACCTCCTGAAATAGTTGATCATGACTGAATTAATGGAATTACGATGTCATGGCCATACAATAAAGTATGTGAAAAGCTTTCTTGTGTCTAGTGAATGCGATCGACAACGATGCTGGTCCTTGACTTTTTGGTGCCTATAATTCTTGTGCTGTGGATATCCCCTGATGGATGGGTGTCTGGATCGGGTGTCTAATTGGAACTGCATAGACTGTGCCCGTTCCCTCTGAAAGTGGTTGGGAGGTGAGAGAAGGGATTTATAGTATTTGAGTTTTTACAAAATACAGTTTTTAGGGCCGAGCGGCGTGGCTTCGCCCGTGTAATCCCAACTTTGGGAGGCCGGAGGCAGTGGCGGATCACGATCAGGGATCGGACCAGTCCTGGTAACAGGGGCGGGGGGACCCGTCTTCCCTAGAGAATCGGAGTGGTGGCATGGCACCTGTAGGTCCAGGCTGCTGGGGAGGACTGAGGCAGGAGAATGGCGTGAACCCGGGAGGCGGAGCTTGCAGTGAGCCGAGATTGTGCCACTGCACTCCAGCCTGGGAAACAGAGTGAGAATCCGTCTAGAAAAAAAAATAATAATACACAGATTTTAGGTTTTTGTTAAAGGCTCTTAATTAGAAATTATTCATAAGAGGATTTTTTTATTTGGAACTACCATACTTATTAACTACTTATGTATACCAAGGATAAAGAAGGGTAAAAAATGAGAAACAATGTCAGGTAAAGGACTATCATTTTTTCCCCCAATGTGTGTGTGTATATAATTTATTATACCAGTTAAGTGTAATATTTTGCACAAGGGTTATACACCTGACATTGTCTACACACACATATTATAGACAACGTAGGAATTGTCTATGTTGTGTTGTTATGGAGTCTACTTAAATGGTAATAGTAGCATCCTGTAATGGAAAACTTGTCTCAGTTTTGAAGGATGTCCTTCATAGCTATACATTGCTCTGGAAGATGGTTGGTCCTTATATGGTCCCCATCCCATCTACCAATCATCAGGTTGAGACATAGTATAAATTGTCCTTACCATATGCTCTATAGTTTGAAAAAACCCAGAAGAGCTCAGCTAAGGGCCTTTGCAGATCATTGAACTATAACACGAACATAATAAGGAAGCCTTAAATTTGATTGAAAAGTTTATTAAAATATTCTGAATTAATTTGAATATTTTTCTTCAGCTGTATCTTCATCATAGTCTTTCTTTTGGTAAGGATTAATTAATGAAACTCTCCTAGAAGTTTGCACAAAGCAAAATAATATATACCTTCCCAGAAAAACTTTCCTTAAAATTTTTCATCTGTTGAATAAACATTTGCTAGAAGGGATAATCTGCCATCTAAGTCTTTTGGTTGCAAAGTTCTGTAGAAGAATAGTGTGGCTGCCCACACTATTCTGTTGGTTCCCTTTTCTTACCCACAGCTCTTTCCAAATCAACTTTGCTGCTTTTTCCCATTTGTATTCCTTTCTTTGCTGAGTTCCCTGTGCTTTCTCCAAAGGGCCCAGATTGCACTTGTTTGTCCTCTGCCAGATGTGAATAGGAGAGGGAAGGGAAAGTTCAGCAAATAAGGACGTGGTTTTTTTTTTAAGGAAGATAATTTTTTTTTCCTCCAACTGGTGTTCCTGTCTATGCCCATTTTCAGACTTATGGCAGACTTGACTATGATGCAACTAGCCAATTTTCCAGTGAAAATGCTGAATGTTGGTCATAGCTTTTTTAATACAATCAACAAAGAAGTGTGATGACGTATGTTCTTCAGTCAAAAAGCAAGTGATGTTTGCTTATTGTACTAACACTGGAGCATAGTGGTTGAACTCTGGACCAACCTAGGCTGGAATTACAACTCCGTTATCTTTTGATGGTGGCGAGTTAATCTCTTTAAATCTCAGTGTCTCCATCTATAAAATGTGAAGATTAAATTTGATAATAATATAAATCTCTTAGCATTATCCCTGGCACAAAACTCCTCAATAAACATTTATTATTTTTAAATTTGTGATTGGTGTCTTAGACCTTAAAGTAATTGTAATTTAAAGGTTAGGTGAATTAGTTGCTCTTTTGTGTTGTGTGGCAATTAGTGTGAATAACAAGTATTGCTTCAAAAGTCATCATTATACCTTGCATCATATGTGATTATAAAAGATAAAAGCTGTGGAGTTTTTGACATTTAAGATAATTACTGAAATAGGAAAAGCAAAATAAATCTATTGACATTTCTGATGTTATGATTGTTAAAGTAATATATTATCTTTCTTTTCTTAGGCTCCTGAAATGCATATCAGTGTGATATATAAACACTTGCAACAAGTGAAAGAATTTATGGGTAGATTCAATATGAAAAAGAAAACTTCAAAACTTTGGTGTTTAAGTAGCTCTGCATATTTATTGCCATGTCCACAGATGTCATCGCAACAGATAAAGAAGAGGTTGCCTTCAAAGACCTGGATGTGGCCATTCTCGTGGGCTCCATGCCAAGAAGAGAAGGCATGGAGAGAAAAGATTTACTGAAAGCAAATGTGAAAATCTTCAAATCCCAGGGTGCAGCCTTAGACAAATACGCCAAGAAGTCAGTTAAGGTGACCAACACTGTATTTTAGGGATTTTTCATTATTAGCATTTGAAACGTACGCTTTTAGCATTTAAGCAAAACCTTAAATTATTTGTCCTTTTTTCTAGTTCTGTGCAATCATCAGTAAATATGGCTATAGAGTTTTGCTTGATAAGCTCTCCCTTTCTGGGTTTTTTGTTACAGTGTAGAAATCTATATTCAGAGTGTTCAAAAATATTTTTCCTATTAGTATAACGTGAAAACTTAATATTAGTTCTTAAACCTATAGAGAAGGCACAGGACCTTCTGGTGCATTTTTGCTGAGTGGGAATATTTATTTAGACATTTAAATTTGTGTGTGATTGTGAAAAGAGATAGCTAGCTGTAAGGTAAGTTTATTCTCAGGAGTAGAATATAGTGGTTTCTGAATGCTCGCTCAGATTTTCTTAATGCAGAGGAATTTTAATATGCTTGTTTCTTGAAGAATTGAGTCAGTATGACTTACCGTTCTGTCTCTTTGTGTTAAAACTATTTAAATTCTAACTATGTCTTAATAATACAATAAGCCTTTTTTATTTATTTATTTTTATTTTTTTGAGACGGAGTCTTGCTCTGTCACCCAGGCTGGAGTGCAGTGGTGCAATCTTGGCTCACTGCAACCTCCACCTTCCGGTTCAAGCGTTTCTCCTGTCTCAGCCTCCTGAGTAGCTGGGACTACAGGTGCACGCCACCACACCTGGCTAATTTTTGTATTTTTAGTAGAGATGGGGTTTCACCATGTTGGCCAGACTGGTCTCCAACTCCTGTCCTCAGGTGATCCACCTGCCTTTGCCTCCCAAAGTGCTAGGATTACAGGTGTGAGTCACAACACCCAGCCAAACCTTCTTTTATTAGTGAACTATCAATTAACTAGAACTTAATTGTCACACAGCAAATAGGCTTGCCAGTTAAAGGTTTAACTGATTTCCGTATACTTTCCTATTTAAAAAAAAAAAAAAAAGTGAAAGAAAATTTTTATAAAATTTTTTAAGTTGCCCATTATAATGTTCTATCAGTAACATTTCATAGATGTCTGCATTTTTTGCTTTCTGTGGACTTCATTTTAAATAGTTAACTTACTTTCTGTCATCACAGAAAATAATATAAATGAGTTGAATAGAAATCCACAAGTACCAGTAAAATATTACAAGGTTGTTCAGACTGCTAAATTGCAGGCTGTTTGGAGGTAAAGTATTCCTTGCACAGTAATTCCACCTCTGCAAAGCGTCCTTGTTTGTCAGAAATATTTGCCAGCACTGCAGTACTTAGAGACAATGAAGTATCTTGTCTGCAGCTTGTCAAAAGAGGTACCAAAAAAAAAAAAAAAAACAAAGACTAAAGATATAAAGGAGTCAGTCTCTGTAATATGGTTGTAACTTTTCTGTAAATCTGATATTATTTCAAAAATTTTATTACCATTTTATTAAAGATTTTTATAACTTAAAATATATTTTCCTATGCTATATTGTATTTGATGTTTCCCAAGCCTCCCCTGTACGGCTACCTGTTAGACATTTTCAGTCAAATTTTAACATGGTTAGTAAGTATATAGTCTGTAAGTCTTCAGTGCCTTCCATTCCTCCTAGGTTATTGTTGTGGGTAACCCAGCCAATACCAACTGCCTGACTGCGTCCAAGTCGGCTCCATCCATCCCCAAGGAGAACTTCAGTTGCTTGACTCGTTTGGATCACAACAGAGCTAAAGCTCAAGTAAGAAAAATGTCTTTTAAATCTTGTGATTGTTCAACTTTAAAACATTTTTCTCTCACTTTTAAAATAACTGAATCTGAGTTTGTGCTTTTTTCTTGTTTTTGTTTAGTAGGAACCTGTTACTTTTATTAAATTAAAAGTAAATTATTATTAATTTGTTAGGGAGTCTTTAAATGTATTCTCGTAAAGGACCAGAGGCTTTACTTCCTACTTGATTTTGTCTTTAACTATATTTCAATTGCTAACTATAATGAAATGCAGTTACTAATGTTCTTTTGTTACAGTGGTTAAAAATTAGTATACATGATGGTACATAATTTAGTTTTAATTTTTTCAGATACATAGGAGATTATATAAACAAAGACTTGAGCTTTGCGTGATTGTATGGTTCTGCTTCTGTTTCACCTGCAGCTAAGCAATCAAATTCAGATTTTGTAATTTTATATTTAATTTTCAGTTTATGTCTTTTTAATATTCTGTGTGTATCTGTAAAATTTGCTACTTTCACTGCTTAGGAGCTAAACTCTGTTGCTAATTTTCTTTACCCTTGGAGCCATAGATAAGTATGCCAAGGAGCCAGTGACCAAGGAATTAACAATAGCTTTTCAAAAAATTAGAAGCCAAGCAACTGATCTGAGCTAGTTTCCTAGGCTTTTTCAGATCTAACTGGTCCTGGTGCCCGTTCCTGGACAGAACCTCTGTCCGTTGCCCTAATGCTTTTCTGGCCATCCCTTCTTGTCTGTAGGTCATCACTGCTAGATAGGTCTATGAGTTCAGTGCTTTTTCTTCTAGAGAAAGATAACTTTAGTTTCAAAAAAAATTGTTAACCAGAAGATGCTATGAGGTCTAAGTTGAAGCACTGCTGCCCTAACCTAAGAATTAATAATCCTTCAGCACTGGAATGCCTATGAAAGAGAAAAGAATATACATTTGTTAAGCATCTACTGTAAATTGAATGCTATACATGTAATTTTCCATTTAATTTTTATAGTAACCATATGAGGTATCTTATATTATCCCTGCTTTAGGTAAGAAACCTGAGGCCCAGGGAAGTCAGAGAACCTGCTCAGAGTCATACAGCTTATAAATTATGGAGCCACTTGATTTGCCTGACTCAAAACCCTTATGTATGGTCTTACTTAATGGTATCAACTGACCTTAGTCCACTTACTAGCTCTGTGATTTTGAGAAAGTACATTCAATGATTAAAATGTAATAATTATATCTACCTCAGAGAGTTCTTATGAGGATTAAATAAGATCCATTTTAAGCCCTTAGCATGGTGCCTGCACATAGTAAATGTAAGAAAAGTTGGCTGCTATTATTATTAGTTGATTTCTTCTTTCTAAGAAGCATACAGCCTAAACATTCCTAACGTAAAGGGTTGTTGGATAACAACCCTTAAATTTTTAGCTTAAAGTGCAGATATTCCCTGAGAGGCTTTAGGCTATGGGCTGGGTCTGATGGTAGCTGAGAACAAATAGGAGTTTGTTTGAATGACTGGAGGCAGGCAGTTTGAGTACTGTGGGACAGTTGTAAAGGAAGAGATATTATACGCCTTACAGTTGTAAACTCTGGATTGCCAGACAGTGACTTATTTAGTTCCTGCAACAAGAAAAAGGTAACACAATGACACTAGCAACCACTTTTTGTTGTTTCACCTGAGGCTTTGGTGGAGACAGGCTTTGGAAAATTCTGCCTCCAAAGGTACTGCTAAGAGATACTTTGTCCTAGTGCCTGAAACAGTTTTCACTGCAGGGCTAAAGTCTGAATGAGCAAAGAGGAAAGACAGTGCTCTCCTCAGACTTTAACCTTCACTTTGGGACATGTTCTTTATTACTCCTGGGACCTTGGCTTGGCACTGTTTCAGCATGTCAATCTGGCATAGTGAGAGCTTTTAAGGAGTCATTGAAGAAGCACTTTCTTCCTCTAAAAGAAGTAGTTTATCCAGTGAGAAAAATAACAAACCCAAAGGTAAGTTTTTCTTACAGGAATGGTTGCTTGATATTTTGTCTTGGAATTCAGAGGCCTTAGCTACTTAGGGACTGTTTAACACCTGCAGAACTTCCCTGTGTATTTGCAAACCAGTGCTATATTTACATCTGCTGACAAGGTAATTTGACAGTGATACCAGATAAGGTAATTTGACAATGATACCAGTTAGCTGGTAAGAAAATTACTAGGGCTGGAGAATTAATCAAAAACTTTTAACAGACCTCTATGACAGACATGAGTGTCTAGGGGAGTAAAGAACTGTTATCCCAGGTACGTATAAATTTAGACTAATTGTGACAGGAATCATATTAAGAAATTATATCTGCTGGGTGCAAAGTACCTGGCCTTTGCTGTCCAGACAGAACTGGATTAGCTCAAGAGATGAAAGGAGCAAGAGGAGGAGGGCAACAAGAACAAAGGAAGGCAGGGGAGCCCAGGAAGACCGAGGGCAGAGAGGCCTAGAGGCATTTTGTCTTCACTGTACTTGGAAGCACTGAAGCTGACATTCAGGGAAGTTACAGGCTCTAACTTCCTGGTGATATATATATCTTGAGTTAATTGTTCAAGGTATAAATTTATCTTTTTCTATACCATACCAGCTAAATTTAAGTATAAATGTAAGTAAGAGCAGTTTTTTTCCCAGTTCTTTCAGGTCATGGCACCCATAAAAAATGGTACTCATTGGACAGCGTGCCACTCTACCCTACCCCACAGGCTAAGCAGATCAATAGCCGAGGACCCCAGAAACCAACCGTCAACTAATTTGTGGAGACTAATGCAAATATTGTAAATAATAGTCCTAATACTTGGAAGACTTGCAGGGATTCGATCGGTCAAAAGTGATTTACAATATCACAAACAGAAATGTTTAAGTAAACTTTTAACTATTTTAGGATTTCAGAAAGCAGTCTCAGCTAGTTTAAGAGTGAGAGTGAAAGTAAAGACAGTTTACTTCTTACTTAACTGAATAAATTAATGTGAAGACCAGTCAAGTCATTGCAGACATTTTAGATAATGGCCTTTTTTTTCATCTTTATCCTTTTTGGTTGGTTGGTTGGGTTTTTTTTTTTTTTTACTTATTATTTTGAAATAATTTTAGACTCAGAAGTCGCAAAAAAAATAGTACAGAGAAGTCCCTTGTACCTATCACCCATTGATGGTATCTTACATAACTACAGAGTATTATGAAAACCAAGAAGTTGATGAACTACACACAATACTATTAACTAGACTTACTGAAGTTTCACCAGTTTTATATTCATTTATTTTTTTCTGTGTCTTTATGAGTGATTCTATGACATTTGATTACAAGTGTAGATTCCTATAACTGCCCCCATAGTCAAGGTACAGAATTTCTTCATCACTCACAAAAGAACTCCTGCATACTCTCCCTTATGGTCACACCTCCCTCTGTCCCTGACATCATTTATCTGCACTCCACCTCTATAATTTTGTCATTTTGAAAATTTACAAAAATGGAATCATGCAGTAAGGAACCTTTTGAAACTGTCTCTTTTTCACTTAGTTTAATGCCTTTAAGATCCATCCAGGTTGTTGGTTGTTCCTGTTTTTCCACTTACCCCTTTTATTTATTCCATTGCATATGTAAGACGTAATACAGTTTATTTAACTATTCTTTTTTTTTTTTTTTTTTTTTTTTTTTGAGACAGAGTCTCACCCTTTTGCCCAGGCTGGAGTGCAGTGGCACGATCTCGGCTCACTGCAATCTCTGCCTCCCAGGTTCAAGAGATTCTCCTGCCTCAGCCTCCTGAGTAGCTGGGCTAATTTTTGTATTTTTAGTAGAGACGGGGCTTCACCATGTTGACCATGATGGTCTCAATCTCTTAACCTCATGATCCTCCCACCTCGGCCTCCCAAAGTGCTGGGATTATAGGCGTGAGCCACCGTGCCTGGCATATTTAACCATTCTTGAGGGACATTTGAGTTGTTTCAGTTTAGAGTTGTTATTACCCTTGTTTTAAAATTTTCCTTAAAATATCAAAGTGTATTCCTTTTATTACATGGTAAATACTCAAATGCTTTATTTATGTGCTAAAGCTACAGACTCTGGCACAACTAATTTTCTCTCCCATTCTTACTGGGACACAGAGGAAGGAAGAATTGCCCACAATGTCACCAAAACAGATCAGCTTCTTAAAATATTTTTCCACATTCCCTTCTGGTTCATCATAAATTCTGTTGTCTAGTTAGGAACAAATTATACATACACCTGATCACAATTTATTTTCTGCACATAAACTTATCAGACAAATAACAAACAGGCTGATTTTATTTAAATCTACCAAGACATGTCTCTTTTTTTTTTTTTTTTTTCTTTTGAGACAGTCTCACTCTGTCGCCCAGGCTGGAGTGCAGTTGTGCAATCTCGGCTTATCACAACCTCCGCCTCCCAGGTTCAAGCGATTTTCCTGCCTCAGCCTCCCGAGTAGCTGGGATTACAGACGTGCACCACGAAGCCCGGCTAACTTTGTATTTTTAGTAGAGATGAGGTTTCTCCACGTTGGTCAGGCTGGTCTCGAACTGCCAACCTTAGGTGATCTGCCCGCCTTGGCCTCCCAAAGTGCTGGGATTATAGGCGTGAGCCACCATGCCCAGCTCAAGACATAACTTTTTAACCTTTTTTTGTGGCTATTACGCTATATGTGATTGCAAGGCATTGCAGGACCCTAAAGTGCTTTCTGGAGTTATAGCTAGAGATTGTTACATATGTTAGAATTTTAGTGTGTATATATGTGTGTATATACACACACACACACACATATATAAAATCTCTTTCCTTCAGTTTCCTGATATATAAAATGAGGACAGTCATATCTTGGTAATTTGAGTCCTATCCAACTCTAAAATTTCATATTTAGGGTTGAAAATTAATTTGTATATGGTATGTAATAAAAATTTTACCTAAAGTGCCTAAATACCTGATTACTCAGAAGCACTGAGAAGACATCTCCAGGTAAACATTAACAGTGAAACAAAAGATCACATTTACATATTTAAGAAACAGTAAATTGATTAATAAATAATAGTAACTTGATTAATGTTTTATGTTTGATACACCTACTATACTAATAACCACAAACTATGGGATGCTTCATACCCTTAAACATTGTACTCCATAAGCTTCAAGTCCACGGTTGTTACCACTGTTAAGCTGTTGTAGGAAATTGCCAAGCAATAAATTTACCTTTTTTACAAGTCAATATAACTATTGTGTTCTCTTGAAATTTCAGAAGCTTTTTATTTAAGGGCGTTTGTCAAAACAGGTCCCAATTGGAAATAAAAAGCATTTGCCTCAGTAATGTATTTGTTTTCAATTTAACTAGATTGCTCTTAAACTTGGTGTGACTGCTAATGATGTAAAGAATGTCATTATCTGGGGAAACCATTCCTCGACTCAGTATCCAGATGTCAACCATGCCAAGGTGAAATTGCAAGGAAAGGAAGTTGGTGTTTACGAAGCTCTGAAAGATGACAGCTGGCTCAAGGGAGAATTTGTCACGGTAAGAAAAATCTGTGAGCCTTCTTAACGCTGAGCATAAAGAACTCTTGAGAGACTCTTAGGACAGGAAACCTTCAAGGAGGGCAGGTCTTTCACAGTTGCTCTGATGACTGCATACTTTCGGGATCTTAGTAAGCCAGTCATGATCCAGTCTGATCTGATATGATCTGTAGCACAGCAGTTGCGACTTATACCAAGATCCATGTCTTTGACATATGATAAACTTTGTATGGGAAGATACAGTTTTCTTTTTCCAGAAGGATTGGTAAGGCTAACATCAGGTTGTTGCATGATTTTGGAGGGGACACATTAAACTCTGGTCATAGCCTTTCACCCCAAGTTCGACTTGGAATCAATGAAAATGTTGCTATCATGACCAAGTAACACTGCTGCTTTCGCCTGCCCCTTTCCCAGACTGTGCAGCAGCGTGGCGCTGCTGTCATCAAGGCTCGAAAACTATCCAGTGCAATGTCTGCTGCAAAAGCCATCTGTGACCACGTCAGGGACATCTGGTTTGGAACCCCAGAGGTAAGGATTTAGTGATTTGCACAGGTCACTCTGTTTTATTTTTGTTGCCTGATGATATAATATAAAAAGAATATAGCCTTTAGGTTATAATCAGGTTAGGTTCATTTCTCAGCTCAGCTGCCTATTAACTAAGTAAACTTTGGAGTTTCTTAGCCTTGACCTTTCTGAGCTGTTTTGTCATCTTTTACATGACATTACTATTATACATAGGGTTGTGAGGGTTAAAGGAGGTTGCATATGGAAAACACGTAGCACAATGCCTGATACATAGTAGGGGTGAAATTTTTTCTTCTAGGCCACAGCTTCCTCATCTGTGAGGATTAGGAAATGAGGATTAGGTTTCCCTGGCCTACTTCACATATGATATGGAAGCATGAAATGAAATAATATCCATGAAAGTTATCTTGTCGTGGAAGTACCTGGTGCTGATGATAGTTCCTTACACAGTAATGATGTTATGAACATAGTAAGAAAGGGTCACCTGGTTTAATTTTATTAGTTCATGTGTCAGTTGTGTAAACTAATCACCATGAGTATGTGAAACATTGTTATTTTCAGGGAGAGTTTGTGTCCATGGGTGTTATCTCTGATGGCAACTCCTATGGTGTTCCTGATGATCTGCTCTACTCATTCCCTGTTGTAATCAAGGTAAGGTATTTTGGAGCTATTTCCCTTCTTTGAGAAAGTAGTTATATGTTTCCCTTAAGAATGGTATTATTGGCCAGGCACAGTGGCTCACGCCTATAATCCCAACACTTTGGAAGGCCAAGGTGGCAAGATTGCTTGAGCCCAGGAGTTCAAGACCAGCCCAGGCAACATACTGAGACCCCCATCTCTGCAAAAATAAAATAATTAGCCGGGCATGGTGGCACACACCTGTGGTCCCACATCCTCGGCAACAGAGCAGGACCCTGTCCCCGCAAAAATAAAACAGAATGGTATAACTTCATCTAGAAAATTGTTCCTTTACTAAAATAGACATTTTTCTCAGCTTTAAAACTATATGTATTTCAACTTCAGGTCATTAAAAGTTTTTGTGATTGAAATTAATCTGGAAAGGAAAATTCAGCTTTTCCTACTAAACACAGTATGTTATTATGCCTCTAGTATTAGAGACCTACAAATAGTATATTTCTAAACGAAGCAATGATTTTCAGTGTTGTTGCTGTTTATTATAAACGTGCTAAAGTCAATCATTTTAAAGATTTTTTTTTTTTAGATTCAAGAGGTTTAAAATTCAAGTGTTGAGTTTTTATTAGAATTGTCTATTAATTAAAATCTGGATTTTGATTTACTTCTTTAGAATCAGACTTTAAAACAGATACACCTCTAAATATAAGTTCAAACTAGGTTGTTGCTTATTAAAAGATCAGTTCCACTTTAAATCTCTTATTTGCATTATTTTCAAACAGAATAAGACCTGGAAATTTGTTGAAGGTCTCCCTATTAATGATTTCTCACGTGAGAAGATGGATCTTACTGCAAAGGAACTGACAGAAGAAAAAGAAACTGCTTTTGAATTTCTTTCCTCTGCCTGACTAGACAAGGATGTTACTAAGTGCTTCAAAGCTGAAGAATCTAAATGTCGTCTTTGACTCAAGTACCAAATAATAGTAATGCTCACTTAAATTACTTGTGAAAAACAACACATTTTAAAGATTATGTGCTTCTTGGTACAGGTTTGTGAATGATAGTTTATCATCATGCTGTTAGTATGCATTCTAAATAAATATATACCCAAATGAAAGTGACTCAGACTCTGTTTCTAGCTAATATTTAGTGTCTACTCAGGAAACAAACTTGCAGCCAGGCACAGTGGCTGACACCTGTAATCCCAGCACTTTGGGAGGCCGAGGCGGGTGGATCACTAGGTCAGGAGATCGAGACCATCCTTGATAACACAGTGAAACCCCGTTTCTACTAAAAATACAAAAAATTAGCCAGGCGTGGTGGCAGGTGCCTGTAGTCCCAGCTACTCCGGAAACTGAGGCAGGAGAATGGTGTGAACCCAGGAGGCAGAGCTTGCAGTGAGCAGATGGCGCCACTGCACTTCAGCCTGGGCGACAGAGCGAGACTCCATCTCAAAAAAAAAAAAAAGAAAAGAAAAGAAAGCAAACTTGGATGTTTCCCAGCTTGCCTAAAGAATTTTTATATATATATATTTTCTAACCAGAGGAAGGCAGTAAGGCTAGAAAGATAAAGCATAAATCTCATTTAAATAGAACATAGAAACTCACCTTGTGATAATGAATCAGTCTATTTCAGTATATATTTGTAAACATTACCTACATTGAACACATACCGTATATTTAAAATCTTAAAGGTTCACGCTTTGTAGATAATTCAGTTTTAAGGCTCGCTACTAATATTAAATAAGTTGCAGATAATATTGTTAACAGTGTTATGCCATTGGATGAAATTAGAACATTTTCATTATATTAAAAAAATGATAATAGGTTTTCACTGGAGGTGTTACTTTTTAGCAGATAAGGAATCATTTCTATTTCAAAACCACTAAATGCCACAGAAGTTTATGCTAGTGTTAGGAGTTTTCAATCTAAGCTTATTACTAGAAAAATAGTGGAGTTTTTTCAATAGTCTTGCTTTTTTCCCCAAACCTATCATGGCAGAAGGCATTGTCTATCTTTTCGTCCTCATGCTTAACACAGTGTCCACATGTAATAGACAATATTGTATTAATAAGTATCTCCAGGCCTAATGTAGTACTCTTCATGGATACTCAAATATTTGTTGGTTGGATGTATTTATAATTACAACTTTGGGAGGCCAAGGCAGGAGGATTGCTTGAAGCCAGGAGTTAAAGGCTAGCCTGGGCAACAAAACAAGACCCCATCTCTACAAAAAATTTTAAAAATTAGTTGAGTGCAGTGGTGGATTCCTGTAATCCCAGCTACTCAGGAAAGTAAGGCAAGAGGATCACCTAGGCACAAGAATTCAAGGCTGCAGTGAGCTAGGATTGCACCACTGCACTCCAGCCTGGGCAACAGAGCGAGACCGTCTCCTTTTTAAAAAATTAAAAATTACCTAGATCATTATCTCATATGATGTAGAAAAGAAAAAGCAAGTGAGTAAAACTACATTTAGGACTACTATTAATTGGAAGCATAAAAACAAAATTTCCTATAGAAGGAACAAAATTTTGTATAAAGTAAGTATGAATTGGACCAGTTGTTATTTTCTTTCGGTTCCAAACGCTCCGTTCTATATTCTCATGACATTAGGACTGGAACTTGGCAAGTCACATTTCTTTACCTGCTGCTCTTTGTTAAAAATGTACTAATAGGCCAGGCGTGGTGGCTCATGCCTGTAATCCCAGTACTTTGGGAGGCTGAGGAGGGCGGATCATTTGAGGTCAGGAGTTCGAGACTAGCCTGGCCAACATGGTGAAACCCTGTCACTACTAAAAATACAAAAATTAGTCGGACATGGTGGCGCATGCCTGTAATCCCAGCTACTCAGGAGGCTCAGGCAGGAGAGTCACTTGAACCTGGGAGGTTGCATTGAGCTGAGATCATGCCACTGCACTCCAGCCTGGGTGACAGAGCAAGACTCCGTTTCAAAAAAAAAAAAAAATTTTATATATATGTATATATATATATACACACACTAATAATATATATACACACACTAATAAAGAAAACATGCTCTTACTCCTTCCTGTTGGTTTCCTCTATCATTACCTTCTATCCACTTTATATAAGCCAGAAAAGAAGAAAACAAATGAATCAAACATATCTTTAGAAGAGCAATTAGTTGGAAGCATGAAAACTAATTTTATGTAGAATTAAAAAGAAAATCTTGGCTGGGTGCAGTGACTTATGCCTGTAATCCCAACACTTTGGGAAGCTAAGTGGGAGGATCGCAGACCAGCCTGAGCAACATAGTGAGACGCCATCTCTACTAAAAATAAAAAATTAGTCAGGCATGGTGGGAGGGTCGCTTGAGCCCAGGATGTCAAGGTTGCAGTGAGCCATGATCATGCCACTGCACTTTAGTCTGGGTGACAGAGCAAGACTGTCTTTAAAAAAAAAAAAGAAAATGTTATATGAAGAAAGTATGTATATATGAAAGTTATTGGAGAGATCTAGATTACTTGTAGAAACAAGTAATTTTTCACTAACTGTGCCTTTGAAGCATGGATTTCAGTTTGAATATTCACATTGTGAAACTGATTACCACTTTATGCCATTTTTTTTAATGCTCTTCACGTTCATCACCTTTACCAAGAGAACAAAGCATTTTGTTGCCCCCGTCTCTTAATGGAGTCCAGGCCCAGGAAATTGTCTTTAAGCAGCATGATAATATGTGAAAAGCCTATGTCTTTCCTAAGCATTTTTACTAGTATTTGAAGAAATGATACATGGGTGCATTACAGGGCAAAAGACATTACATTTTAAGCCAATAAAGTTAGATTAAGAAGCTTTCCAAAAGAGGTACAATCTGTATAAACCTAAACCTTGAGGGAATATTGACCTCTGCAGATCATGACCCTGGTAATGTTTCCTGAACAACAGAAGTGGATGGCCAGTGCAGCTTTATTTAATTCTAATAAAGCATAAAGAAGGAGGGGGGGAAAACCCTATAATTCCACTGCCAGTTAATCATAATTTAAATAAAAGTTATATATACATTAGAAAATCAATGAAATGGTGTTAATGAAAACCAAGTTTTTGTTTATCCTAACAGGAAAAAAAATACACATATTTATTTTGAGAGTTTAAAAAAAACAAATAAAGGAATACATAGTGAAAAGAAATGTTCTTTGCTCACCTGACTCCCACCCATTTAAGCCTCGTTTTTGTCCCACGGCCTGTAGCTCGGAAATATTCAATGCATAACCAAAGTATGTATGTAAATATATGTGTGTGCATGTAACCATCACCTTTTGTACATAAATTATAACACACTGTTCTGCACTCTGTGTTTTTCCTTTAGTAATACATCTTAAAACTATATAGATACTTAGCGTCAGGCACAGTGGCTCATGACTGTAATCCCAGCACTTTCGGAGGCCAAGGTAGGCAGATCACTTTGAGCTCAGGAGTTCGAGACCAACCTGGGCAACATAGCAAGACCCCATCTTACAAAAACAAAACAAACAGCCTAGTGTGGTGGCTCACACCTATGGTTCCAGCTACTTGGGAGGCTGAGGTGGGAGGATTGCTTGAGACCCAGAAGCAGAGGTTGCAGAGAACTGAGATCATGCCACAGCACTTCAGCTTGGGTGACAGTGTAAGACCCTGTCTCAAAAAAAACATAAAAGCTATATAGATACCTGCAGAGCCACCCCATTCATTTTTAAAGTTATGTAGTACTCCATTGAATGGATATACCAAACTTTATTTAGCCAGTCTCCTATTGATGGAGTTTTAGATTCTTGTCAATCTTCTACTACTATAAAGATGCTGGACTATTTTTGTAAGTTGGTTATTTCATACATGTGCAAGTGTATCTGCAGAATAAATTCCTAAAACACAACAGATTTTTTTTTTAACACTGTTGAATCTAGTTTGTTATGAAAGCAGCAGCCTTCTGGATTCGATATTATATGTACATTTAATATCATTTTAACTGTCCTTTCTAACCCCTCACTTTTTTTTTTTAAACAATACCTTGATTAAACCAGCCACAATATTTCTCAAGAAACGTTGACCAGGGGAAAAATCTATTAGAAAGTACCTTTTTGGTATGTAAGCTTAAGAATTTGACTACGAAAAACAAAAAGCAACAAAAATAGGTTCCTAGTTGTCCCTGTGAAATTGGTATGAGAACTCATTATCTTTATGATCATTATGGCTTTAAACAAAACTCAAAACAATAAACATATCTGTTTTGATTTCTGAATATTGATGGGTTCTTAGACAACCTAAAATGGTTACTGACTCATTAGAAACATACAAGCTTTCATTCTAGTAATGTCACCTAACTGGTATCACCCAGTACAATACAGTGAGAGTTCAATACACATTGTTGAATAAATGGGTCCTTGTCAATTTGCCCTCTAACTCTGCTGGGCATAGACATGTATTCTAAATCAAACTCATAGCCTGACCTGGGTAGCACAATTGAGTAAAGCACTTTTAAGCAGAATAGACATCTCTAAATCTGTCCAGTTTTCTCATGTCCTTACCACCATCACCCTGGTCCAAGCCATCATTATTTCTTCATAAAAGATGTCTGCAATAACAATGGGAATGGGAGCTCAGTTTGGAGTCTATGACTCCCCTCTCTCCCTAGTCCAATCCAGACTTGCACCAGAATTACTGATTAGCGATGATATTTTGCTTCACGTTTTTTGAAGAATAGACCAACTCATGGGCTTGGAAGTCAGACAAGCTTGGATTCCAGCTCTGACTCTTTTTAGGTGTCCTTAAACAACCTTTCTATGTTTTGATTCCCTCAGATACAAAATGGGGATATTAATAGTATCTCCTTTATAATGTTTTTGTGAGGATTATTTAAATGGAAAGCACATGGTAAGGGCTCAATTTCCTTATTGGGTTTTTAGTGGATCAAAATACGCCACCCCAAAATATGCCACTTTAGCATAAGAAGTAGTTTGAGCTGAAGTTATTTCAGATTCAACAGATACAGAAGCAGCCTTCTCAGTGCCTCCCTTGTCTGACTAAAAGCAGAAACTTCTGAAAGTGAGGACTGCCATAAATCCTCTCTCCTAGGGAAGTTTCATGACCATGAAGAAGACAGAAAGTTGGCACTGACATGGAC